CCAGGTCTCCATAATGGAGAGGAGGTTGTGTGGTTTCAGGTCATTCTTATACAGTGACAACAGCAGTTTCTCAACATCTTTCTGGATCCAAACTCTCCCCATAAGTTTTACAGGAATCTGTAACTCAGCCTGTACTTTGTGTTTTAATTATGTCTGAATGTAAGTTTATGGTTTGAGCCTTTTCAAAGGAGAATTTCTGTCACTGTTGGGACAGACAATCAAGTTTTATCTCTGTATCTAGACAAAATCATTTGTAAATACAGTGTTTTTGTGTGCTTTTTCATCTATTGCATGTTTGTCTGTCTATGAATCGTTCCTCTGTCTTTCCTGAGGTATATTTCATTTCTTCCAAGATAAAAAGTTAATTGGAGGAGTGAACTGTACAACATCAGCTGCTCATTGTGAAAAGTGATGATGGGACAACCAATCAAAAATTATCAAAAACTGATTGAACGAACCAACCCAAGCTACCATCTTGTTAGCCATGATCAAAATGCTAACAAGGTAGAAAAACAAAATATATACTATATATGGATATTAAAAAGGATTATGATAATGGTATGTGTCAATAAAGTTTGTCCAAGCAGAATTGCCTCCAGATAACCGACCTATAAAAGCCTCTGTTAGAAATTAACTGAAAAATAAGTCAAGTGAACAAAGATGGCAGCCTCTTAAACTGACGTAATAAAGCCCTGAGAGTATTGGCATTACACATGTGCTCTGTCCCATTCCAAACTGGAAAGACATGTTAGACTGTGACTTAGAATAAAGTATGCATTTCAAGCACTGAAACCAGTTTTTAATGCAGCCAGTTGATTAAGGAGCCCAGAGAGAGGCTTTTGTTGGCAGAGATAATACTGACAGAAACAAGTGGAAAATGAACTTATGACAAATTTAGCTGGCAATCCAGCTGGCAGCAGCTGTAATTCTTTTCTGATTAATTATCTTGTTTTTTTTTTATATATATATATATATATATAATTTAGTGGTAAGGGGACCCTTTCTTTTGAAATCATTATTCAAGTGGACCTTTCCTTGATTTGATCACAAACAGATTCAAGGTGATGTTCAGTATTACAGGTTCTCTTTGGGGATTCTTTTTAAAAGCAAAATGTGACTGTTAGTTTTTTGTCAGGGACAAAGATGTTGGTAAAAAAAAGTGAACAAATGAAAAACATGTAAATTTGTCCTATATTTCCACAACAAAAGCTTTACAGCTGATAAAGTACACCGACACTGCAAGTTAAAGCATATCAAAGTGTAACTACACACACACAGAGTGCTAACCTGCAGAGATATCTTCATAGCCCTCTAAATGATCCACACTCATAATATAGACATTGATTATATTCTTACTACCTCTGTTACTTTATAATTTACCCAGAATACTTCTTTCTCATACCTCCCTTCCTGTCTTCACACACAGAAAAAAATAAATCTTCACATGCCTCTGTATTAGGTTTTCAATTCAACTTCTAAAAGGAAGCGTGGTGTGGTAATTACTCCAGGTTGGTTAGGGGAGGATGAAGTTAAGGCAATTATGTTTCACAGTAATTATGTCTCTCTGATGTTACTAATTACAAAGAGCACACAAAGAATGACTTTACTGATTCGACAGATATGTATTCTGCTTTTGTCTGCAGACAATGACACAGCAAAAAGGGGGAAAAAAAAGTCAGACCCTTTAACTCAAAAAGTGATATTTAAGAGGAAAAGGAATTCTCCATGCAGCTTCCAGAAGTGTGCAGCTGAATCTTCTGCTCAGATCAATGGTCGATTTAAAAAACTGCAAAAATGCTTCTTTCCAAACTGAGATTTGACCGGTGAGACCCTGACCGATGGCTTTGAATCATCGATTTTCTGCTAGCAGACCTACAAATGACTGACATCAATACGGGAAACTTAGACTGCAAACTACAAACCAAGGTAAAATATTTTCTTATTGCCTTTTCCTGTTTGCTAAGAGCCCAAATAAGTCAATGACAGCACAAGAGCAGACATAAAATACATTTCATTTAAGGCTCTGGGGATGGACAGTGTGTATTTAGTTCAGAGCAGCCTGTGCTTGCGCTCTCAAAGATACAGTTTAGTAATTTGTAGAGAACAAAGTGGGAGGCTAAGGTGGTTATTACACTGAGAGCAGAGGCAATTGTGGGACAATTCCTTTGCCTAATGGCCCTCTCCCCTCTACTTTAAAACACATCCAAGCAACTTCAAACCAACTTACTGAGATTCTCACATACACACACACTCACACGTCTGGACGCTACAGAGGTAGACAAACACATGTGCTTAAGTACAACTGAATATTTCTCTTTTCTGACCTTGACTTACCAACATGAGAGGCAAAATATGGTTTGAAGTATTCCACACAGGAAAAAACACATTACTTGTGTCAGTTTTTGTATACAACCCATGAAGCCTGTTGTCATTAGATGTAAATTGCTGGACAGTCTTTATTTCCTTATACACTGAGGTGTGACCCTGACATATAAGACACAGTGACAGACACAGAAGGCCAGAAAAAACACACACACACACACACACACACACACACACACACACACACACACACACACACACACACACACACACACACACACACACACACACACACACACACACACACACACACACACACACACACACACACACACACACACAACACACACACAAAACACAAACACAAAACACATCAGCAAGGGGATGAGAATATGAGGCAGCTGTTAATGAAAGGTTTTGTAAACAACCCACCCTGACATTAAAGTGAGCTGATTACTACTCTGGAACAAAGCTGTGATGGACTGGGTTTGCATATCTATTACACACGTACACACCAACACAAACACACAGATACACACACAAAAGCACAATCCCTTATAGGCACCGCGGGACATTAGTATTATCACTGTAGAACATAAATAGTCACTCACAAAGCATGATGGAGAGTGAGAGAAAACAAAGTCCTCGCACGTACAACATAAAAGAGCACCTTCTGCAGATACACAGTGAGACATTATCATCATCACTACAGTACACAAAGCTGCATACACAAGCACTACCGCACGCACACAAAGACAATAAATTCACACATTCCATTGAAGCACAGCAGGATATTATCATAATCCCCAACAGGTATGAGGCAGAACGCCAATCAAGGTCACCTCTGCTGCAGAGAGCGGAGAGTGTCTCAGATAAGAGACAGAAGGAAACCCAACTTTTAATCTGCCTCCCGACGGAAAGAAGGGTGAGGAGGAGAGCAAGAGAGACACAAAGACAAAAAGAACTTCAAAGATATGAGAGCCTGTGTGTGCATGAGTACAGTTAAAGTTTTTTGTTTTTCAAAACTATATTTTTTTTTTTACATTTTCTTGTGTTTCAGATCTAGTTTTAATTATTTTTGTTGAGATAACAACATATAAAGATAATTCAGTTGTCCACGAAAGGAAAAGCTATAAACATGAAAATACTAAACTTTTGTCTTTATTATAAATGAAGGGAAGGAGAAGGTATGGGTAATCTCACATTACTCACTGTGAAGCCAGTACTTTTTCTATAGCTCAATATGTTGGTCAATATATTGTAGTAAGGGCACTTTGAGTCTTAACAGACGTCGCTGTCAGCATGAAATGTATATTAATTTACTATCAATATATTCACTTCCACCGAGAGCCAATTTATTAAGTATTCATTGATGCAAAGTGTCGATAAATAAGCTTTATAGCACAGTTAATTGCTCTATATCTCCCTCGCTCTCGTTCTCTTTCTGTGAGTGTGTGTGTGTGTGTGTGTGTGCCCCTCTTGTGCTCCGTCAGCAAAAATGAAATGCACATATTGCATTATAGTGTAAAATTTTATCGCGCAAATCATATATAAGGGTTATAGTCCATAAAAATGATGACGCATACGACACACTTATTGGAGCCTGTGCTTCTTTAAACAATATTCAATAATCCCAACTTCTTAAATATCTTACTTTTAGTTTCCCCGACAACAAATGATTACCCTGCACAAAACTCAGACTAAAGAAAGCGGGCTTAAATAGTTTCCACCCTACTACTAAGAAACAAGATCCTGTTTTTTGTGTCGGATTAAAGGAATGGAAAATGTCAGAGGGCCTTTTCAAATCATTTCAACTTTATGGGCATGTTAGAGTGTCTCAAGTCGGCCTCAAGAAGGGTTCATGTCTGAGCCTACAAAGCTCCACCCTTCTCTCATGCACACATAATCGATTACAGAATACAATATTAGAAATATATTTCAATTATTTCATAGTGAACGATTTCCTGCTGAACTCGAGGTTATGGTAAAGAAATCAACGGAGGACAGTTTCTAAGTAAGCAGAGAGAAACACTAAAGATGCAAATGAATGCATTTCTGTCTCCTCTCACATTTCAGTTGAAATATGAGGCATTTAAATATGAGCACATTAGTGCTGCCAACGAAAAGAACATTTGGGTTTCAATAACAAACAGACAGAAAGCAAGATGATCTCGTCGGGGAGGAGAGAGACACTCGTGAACATCCAGGCTCACGCAGCACATAATATCAGAAGTCACCTAATTTCACTCAGCATTGCATATGTTAAAGAGTTTTCACAGAGACCGCTTTGAGTGATTCATCATTGAGACATGGATGGTTTTGGCTTCTTTAAATCTCATTGGTGGTTAAGGAGACCACCAGGCAGTAGTAAGACGTGGTATTGCTTTTAAAAGTGGATTTTGGCGTTAACTGGTTGCACACAAACTCTGCATGAAGGTAACACTTTACAGGGGGATTCAAGAGGAAAAGGACACACTGTCTGTCTGATCTATGAAGGTCGTGTTAAAGAACATACTAATGGCTGTTTATCCTACCTCCAAACATTACTATGGTAACTGACTGAGAGACTCTTTAAGCAGACTGCGGTTTATTTCAGTTTTATGTTCAAGTGAGGACATTATTTACATGTGGCCCCCTCTCCTGGAAACAGTGTTTGTGTGAGAGTTTGTGTGTCCTACCTCCAAAGATTTCGTTGGCATCCTCAGGAGGTGCAACCGAATCAGTCAGCGTCTGGGGCTCAGTCTTGTCTCCTCCGTCACTCTCATCTCTTTCAGCTGTATCAGAAGAAACAGTTTCAAGTCAACAGATTTTCAACAGTATGCAAAACAAATAAAAAATTCTGTACATCTATCAGTTAACATACAAGCAGAGCAGTTTATTATTAGTACAGCATGCATATCACAACAAAGGTGAGTACAGCATGACCAAAATTAGAGGAGAGGAAGCAGAGAAAAAGTAGAAAAAAGAAGTGAAGAAAAAAGATGACAGGAGGAGAAAAGATGGAGATGAGTGTTGGAAACCAAGAGGAAGGAAGGAAGGAAGGAATAACAAGGTAAGGAACAAGACAGAGAAGATCGTTATAGTATATTGAAACAAAATTGAGTAAAGATGGAAGAAAAAGAGAGGAGGCAGCTGCAAATGAGACAATAAGAATTTAGTAGTGTTTTGCAAAGTTTATAGAAAGTTAACACAGTGGAGTGGACACAAGCTTATGGCAGGGCCATGTTAAAGGAAAATACAGAATAGAATAAAAAAAGGAGGGGAATAAAGAACAAACCTTTATGCCTGCCCTGAAGTGGCCTGCTCTGCTCACTGCCACTCACAGAGATGACACTGACTGTGTAGTCTTTAGAGGGGTTGTAGTCTTTGATCACCACCTTAGTATCAGATTTAGAAACTATGATTTCCCTCTGCTGACCACCTGTTGGACAGAGAAAGAAGATGGGGCAGATGGCCAAGGGTTACATACACATACAGCATCATCTGAGTCATTGTTTTATTTTCTCGTTGCTATAGTCACTTGCTTTGAAGCAAAATATTAGTATTCTTGTGACGGAGTAAATATTTAGTTGTTTCAGCAGAGATGTTCATTAGCGTTCTAATTTCTGCAGCCAGAAACATCACATACAAGGTCAAAATATTTTGTTTTCTAGAAGATTTGTTGCTGTGCGCATGCCTTTCTTTGCAGCATATAGTTTTACAAAAATTCTGAAATGACACAAAAGTAAAATTCCAAAAACACAGAAACCAGGATATGACATGGCATTATAGATAAGACAAGATGAGATAAAACTTTATTTAGCACTTTCATTCTTATTTCTGTAACCCTCTTTTTTTGCCCAATGTAGTGTAACCTGTGTCACTGATCAGGGTTCATCTGCAGTAAATACCACAGCTCCAGTGTTTCCCGCAGCGCTTTGCAGTTAAGGCAACACAAGCCCTCCTCCTTAACTTCCATTGTAGAAAAAACACAACAGATTTGTGAGCTTGTTCGGATCTCTGTATGCTTAGTTGTTGTTTTTTTATTTATTTTGTGTTTTATTTACTTAACCTCGTCTTCCTTTGTTCACAAAGACAATAACATTTGATCTTATCTGAACCATCTAATCTACTCTTTGTTATTTTCTTATCTGAATATTCCCCTTTCCTTTTGAAATTTGAGCTACACTATAGTCCCCAATTGCTTGTCCTCTTGCCCTTTAGATGTAATCTCCCCAGATTCATTAAAGAGGTCCCCACTGCTTGTCCTCTGCAGCTTACTTTCAATTATGCACCTGTCCCTCACATCTGGCTGAGCTCCTGGTGAGTTTAAGATGGTGAGTATTGAACCTATTAGAAAATGTCCTTGATCAAACCAAACTGAAAACTGAAATAAAAATTAATTGCTGAAGTTCTTGAAAAAATACTTGCATAGCAGCAACAAGAGTTTATTGAAGAACACAATACTGTAATAAATTCCAATCAGGCTAACACCGAGGACAAAAAACAGAATCAACAATTCTAAAATTGACTAATGACATCTTTGAATGGGCTGCAATGGCAAATATTGTACCATGTTCTGGCTTTATTAAGCTGGTGACACCAGTGGTGACTGAAACTTGGTTAAACAGCTTGATAAATGAGCAGGTATCTTTTGCTCTTGCTCTCTCTCGGGTCTCATCTTTTCTGTCAAAAATTAAGTTTGGAGTCATAACATGTCATTCACTACCCTTTTACTCTGTGGGGTACCACAGAGCTCAATCTTTGGTCCCATCCTTTTCTCATTGTACATCTAGCCTCTATACAATCTTCTGAGCCAGTTGAATTGCATCCATAACCCCTGGTAAACAAATAACCAGCAACTGGATTTTCTTCAGTAATGCCAAATGACGTGGGTAATCGTAGAAGTCTCAATGACTGCCTGGCTCTTATTCAAGAGAAGGTTTCGATTCCTTTCCTTTATCTATATCCAAACGTCACCAAGGTTCTGTTTATTGGTCCTGATAGGTTTGTCCCACTGGTGAAACCCTGTATTGTCCTTCTGGCCCTCAATGTTAGTGCCCTCCTTAAGAAACCTTGGTGTAATCTTTGACCAGAATCTGAACTTTGACCCAAGCAAAAACAAGCATGCTCAAAAATACCTCTTTTTAAAGGTGTTATACAGGCGCTCAATTACTCTTTTTTTTAGTCCAAAGTTAATCTCATTATTGATATAATCATGATTTTCAGTGCTAGTGCGTGACACATAAAGAATAGTCATAGTTTTTAATTCTAAGTTTTGAGGTCAGTACTATCCGTCCCCTTAATTAGCTGTCAGCCCACACAAAGAAAGAAGCGTGCCTGTGCTTGTGTCCTTTCCTGAACAGTTAATCCCCATCAGGCAACAGGTCACATTATCTTCCCATTTCAATTTTGACCTTGCAATCAATTCGGCCATCAATAAGGTGTGTTTGAGTGGGTGTGTGCTTCCTCAGCTCTTCTGTCCCCAGTGCCTGCAGAGTGATGACTAATGACGCCTTTAGGAGAAGGAAGATAAATCCTACTGAAGGGGACAGCAGGCCAGAGCAGGTAACCACATGGATCAGCGTTCACACCACAAACCAGAAACTCAGGTCTTTGTAGTTGCGCCGAATATCAGATATCTGTGCTTAAAAGCTTGACCGTCTTTAAAGATCCTACCATCATGTTAAAATAAATCAGAAATAAAAAGGTTTTTTTTATATTATAATGAGAAATGTAAAAATGACAATTTTTAATTTCAGAAGGGTTTACATGGTGTAATCAGCATGGGGGGGGGGGGGGGGGGGACGGGACAAGAGTTGTGTCATTTACCAGGCCCCTCATACACATATGTATTGATCAGTATTTCCAGAATTTGGTTGTTTATTGTGTGAACTTTAGAATCTAAACTTTTCAAAGGAGTCAGGCTCAATGCCTTACATCTATATTATCTTTCCAAAGCTTATCAGGGGTTTGCTCCAACCTTAATACGCAGAGTGTGGCGTTGTCCTTAATAACTAACTCTTAATGAGAACTTAAACTTGCACATTTGCCAAAATATTGGAGTTTTCCTTAAAATGAGTTGAAAGTCTAAAAGAAGAAATGATTTTTTCCATGATATCCAAAACAGCTTGCAACTATTGGTCTGACTCATTTGTGGAAAACTCATTAAAATCATCATCATCTCTCAAATTAAGGTTAATTAAGAACAATTTGGAAAATTATGAAATTTCATAAAGACTTTGGGACTGACACTGTTGTCACATTTTAAATCAGAACAAAAACAAACTATTGGCTGAAGTTTCATGGCATTTTTCTCAACAAAAATGTTACATAATAAATGCAAAAATGGCCTTGTACAATCATCAGAAAGCACACACAGCCACTATCTTTTTCTACGAAGTTGCCCAAATAAATGCATTTAAGGCAACAAATATCATACACAAATAACACAAGCTTAATTAAAATGACAAAAAGACCATAATCCATAACATACAAGTTCGTTAACAGTCTGATGTAAGGCATGGTCAATTCTGCAAGTCACAACAAATCTGTATGCCTCAAACTAATAACACAACTTCAACACCAAAATGTGCTATGTTATATTGGTAAATTTCTAAATGTTTCAATTGCTTCTTTCCAGTAGTCAAACCCATTTCAATTCAACTGTAGAGTTTGCATGTTTTTGCCTCAGCCTAAAGGTAAATAGCAGTTCAGAATGACCTTCAAACTACCTGCTGACTACAAAATAGAGTTGAAGCGGTTTTGCATTGCTTGCTAAAGGTTGTTTCAAGCGTGAATGGGCTAATTGTGGATCACTGTGGTTGTTTGAGGGCAAAACAACCACGAAAAGTGCAGCTATGGACCATTCTCAACCATCAATAACCAATGTGTGTTTTATGCAATCCAGCCTCAAATGGCAGTAATAAGCATGGTATGGTTTGTCCCACCACAATGATATGAAGGAGAATCCCTTAACATGGAAACACCTTAGTCTAATTTGGCATCTGCATGATGAATCTCAGTTGATTGGCAAATTAAAACTTGTTCATACAAACTTTTACTGGATCATTAAAAATACAATCTATACAAAAAACATTGTCCATGACAGCACTGCATGTCTTAAATGTTTGTGCTGCAGTACACACACAGTCTCTCCTGTAATGCTTTTGTAAGCGCTACATCTATTTTTATACTCAGAAATAACAACAGGTTTCTAAACCACCTTTTGTGACTTCCAGTGCTTGGGAAGCGAACACACTTTCCAGTACCCAAATTACTCTTCTAAATCGTTGCAGCAAACAAACTAGTTAAATAAAAACGGACTTTTAGCTTCAGGGTTTGGTTTCATCTCCCCAGAGATCTGAGATGATAAATATAGACATCTGGCAATTATAAATAACACAAATATGCAAGTGCACACAGAAACAACCCACACTATTTGAATTTTAGATTTGTGGGCAGGCTTTGACGATCTTCCAATAAGTGCTGATTTTAATTGAATTCATGCACTGTCATAGAATAAGGAATGAAGGCACTGTCCAGGGGACCACGGCCTAGAGTTAAATACTTGTTGATGTAATGACACATGGATTACATTATACACAATGGTACAAGCTGATAACGGGGGAAGAACAGAGTAGGCATTATTTTTGTTGAATATAAACTGTCCAATAAAAATAATGGCAAAAATGAGTCATCTGCCTCAACCTCAAACCAGAATCCTTATCCAGTTGCACTTTAGTAGTCCCTTTATGTAAGCTCTGATGAGACACAGGATACTGTTGAGCTGAAAGGTTATAGCTGCCAATCTGACATCCTCTATTTTGATCTAAAATAGTGTTATATTGTTAACAAAAGGACTAGCCACATAGGAGCAAAGAGACAGAGGAGGCAGGACATCAGGTATGTGTATCCCCATGCTTTCTATTATCAATGAAGACTTTAATGGCCATATAGTGTCTAGATACTCTATGAAAGCCCAACATCAGCTGGATATTTAACAAAAAAATTTGTTCTCCTTTTCAGCTCTCAGTGGCAGCAAGAAAATCGTCAGACAAGGCGTTTCTTGCAAAGTGTTGTCTGCTAAAAGCATTGGGTTTTTTTTACAGAGTACTTATTCATTCCTACTTGCTCATTTTTAAAATGGCAGTGTAAGAATTGTTTGCAGTATTCAGCACAGCATAATAGCATAATAAAGGCACTGGTGCAGCAATAGTTCAGGGATTGATGTTATGGAGATGTATGGCTGTTAAGGAAGGTGCGCTGTGATTACATGATGAAGGAGATGTCAGTGGTAATTAGGGTGATCACTGACTGCACTTTTAATGCCCAGAAAGAGACAAGGTTATGTCCTGTGTCTATACAATGATCAACTATTAACAGACACAGGATGAAAGCAAGATGTCAGCTGCCCATCATACCTATAAATCCATATGGATAATACAGTTTAACACTGGATGATGACTACTGTTGCTGCCCTTGTCTTTTGCCTGTCCCAGACTGAACTCCATCACGAGTAGGCTTTGCTGCTACTGTCCCTTGTACCCATAAGTCCCATTATCAATTCTGCTGACAGCAAAAAACTCTTCTTTGTCTCAAACTTGGCAGATGGGCAGGACAAACTTTGAGTCCTCCACATCTCTCAGGAGGGAGATCTCTTCAAAGAGCTGTGATAAGAAGTAAATTACATAATCCTTCCTGACAGACAGAAAATCCAAGTCATAATGGGGTCCTTCACCCAAAATTTCAAAGTTAAGTCCCACTTCCATTTGGCACTAAAGTAAGGTGTGTGTGTGTTCTATGTGTTTGTGTGTAGGTGCCCAGCACAGTTATCTTACCTGGTATACTGTTGTAGAGGAATAGATAGCTGTCAAAGTCTCCTTTGGGCTCCTTCCATGAAACAAGAAGTTTGCTTGGGCTCAGCACTTTGAAACGCAGTCTCCTCGGAATTGGAACTACAAAACAATTAGCCACATTTAAATCAGCATCAATAAACAAAGGGAAGGAGTGAAGATAAATAACTATGATAATGAATAAACATGACAGTAGTCAAAATTCCAGCAACCAATAAGCAAAACGACAAATGTGATAAACAGACAATACAAAATGGGATAACACGACAACAAGGCAATGGTTAAACCCAAAACAACACCAAGACCACAAAACCTGACCAGAAAAAAGTCACAAATCACAATGACTCAGAGAGGAATGAATGACTGCATGACCAGAGGAAGAGAGAGTTTTGAAGTTCTTGTATTCATGAGAATAAGACGTGAAGCAGGTCAGCATGGATCAGCTTTGCCGTACACAGTATGGAAAAGGCTTCAAAAGACACGGAATACAAAGAAACGTTTTTAGTCAAATTCTCTTCAAATGATTAATTCAAGGAAAATTGACAAGCGGATGGATGAGCTTAATCCCCTTAACAATCTGATGGAGAAAGATTAAGTAGATGTTTATGCATGTGCCAATTGATGTGTACATTTCTGATCTATAGAGTATCAACTGGTTTATAGCATCAGCATCCTGTTTTTACTTTCCAGCCCTCTGACAATAAAAACACATCTGCAGGAGCCATTTTCTGCAGGGGGGTTGTGTGTTTTTGTATTTGTTATATTCAGACTGTGGCTTTAGTAGAAGAGCAGAAGAGAATTTGACCTACAGAGAATAAAAAGTAAGGACAGAGCAGACAGCAGCAGCATGCAGATGTAGTATTGTGAAAAACTACAAATTCACCTCAGATAATAATAAAAGACAGCGACATGATCAGAATGTCTACGTCACATATCATCATTTCAAATTTTTGCACTTTTACTTTGCTAGTTATCGCATGTTTTTCCATGAATAAGGCCACTATCTGTTTTCTATTAAAAAGCCCATATTATGCCCTTTTTGGGGTTCGTATATTTAATCTATGTATCTACTTTTGTACGTTCACAATAGCTAAAGTTTGAAAAAAGTGTCTGTTTTCATGTACTGCTCCTCCTTGCTCTGTTGAGCCCACACTGTTAGACCCCACGTGGGCCAAGTCTGCTCTGATTGGTCTGCCGATCCGCTCTGTCGTTATTGGTCAGTTGCTCAGCACGGTTCTCGGAAATTTCAACATGAGCTGCAGGGCTTGCCGCAACGAGCCAATGGGCTTAGATCAGTGATCTCACACTGACAATGACGTCACACTGACAAATTTTTATCGAGGGGGGCTAGAACTGAGCGTTGCATGTAGCTAATGCTGCAGCTAACAGGAGGACGTAGGAGAAGCCGCGTTTCCGAATTTTTGCACATAGATGTGCCTAAACATGCAGAGGACACTTGGAAAACACACTAAAGGGCATATAAAACCAGAAAAAGCATAAAATGGGACCTTTAATATGCCTTGTAGAGAAACTCCCATCATCACACCTTATAAACATTTTGAACAGACGGTAGTGTATTAAAAGATCCTTTGACAGAAGTTATTATGGAAGCAGTACTTTGACTCGCAGTCAACTGACTTAAAAGTCAAGCTAACAGAAATTGGTATGCACTACATTTCTTAGACTTACTAAGTTAAAAAAAAATTCTGTTAAATTAGAGCACATACTTGACATGTATGAGTATGTTTGATGCGACAACATATCTAGTTGATATACATTTATTATTAGAGTATATTTTTGCAAATAAAATGTAGTCATTGTGGTGGAATTTCTGTAGTTATTTAGATTATAATGTACAGATGTCATTATGTTTATTCAATGTTCTCTAATGTCAGTCAGACCTGACAGAGTTCAGTTGTTATTAATACACCAAGTACAGCTTAGAGAGTGTCAACTGTTCTTCCTGATATCTGCAAGGATGTTTGGTAGACTTACTGTCTGCTCCAGTGTTATTGACGTCACAGTTTGGTCTAGGTGGGTCAATGTGACCCTGATAATGATAATCTCTTTTTGGATATATGTGATGCCTTTTGAAAAGTTCTGCAGATGTGATTGCGCAAGACACGAGTACAGAAGTGTGATGTTGAATCATGTCTCCTCATGAGTATTCATCTGATGTATAAACTTTCATCAACGCAAGCCATCTGAGTCAACTGAGTCTTATTGTGTGGAGTCAAGTCTTAGTCATTTCTTCAACAGTCATGATTTTAGCTTAAGACTTAATTTAAAGTATTTTTAAAAAAAAGCCAAAGTCACAAATCTGATTACTGGTTGTCAAACAAGGACCACTTTAAATTTCCATCACCACATCTTACAAAACAGTTTGATCGTTAGGTGAAGTGGACAGTGCAGCACCTCACAGTTTTACATTTTGCTCACTCCCTTTCTTAAGTAATCACTAAAACAGCTATGAGAAACTCAAAATGCATAGGCTGATGTGGTATAATTACACCACACAATAAGACTCTATGAATAATTTAACTCTGTGACAGAGAGCTTGGAGATTTGTGCTCTGGTATCATTTAGTGTGCTTGATAGCAGGCAGGGTTTTAATAACTGAGCAAAAATGGACCTGAATGACTTGATCTTGACACACACACACACACACACACACACACACACACACACACACACACACACACACACACACACACACACACACACACACACACACACACACACACACACACACACACACACACACACACACACACACAACAAACAAACAAACACACTGAATTAGAATAAAAAGACGTATTTAAAAAAAACAAATGAGCCAATAATGACCCTTTTCATCTGCATATGCATGTCAGAGAAAGGGCCTATACGTTGAAGGCTACTGTATTCCACTGACAGCAACAATGATTAATGAACATGAACATAATTGCTCCAATAGCTGTAGATGCCGAGAGAACATGAGGGTCCTGGCTATAAATTACCCTTCAACAACCGCCACACCAATTCTTGTTTAACATCATACAGCCATAAATATCATCACATTCACACTTTCTCTGAATCTTAGAGCAAAGATATATATAGTTTTTGGGGTTAAATATTGTAGAAATCCTGACTAGACAGCATAAACTCTCCCCTAAAATTACAGTACGCATACCCATGTACTGTGTAACAGTATATCTTGTAAACCAGAGCTATTAAGCCATTCATCTAAAAGAGTTACACCACTTGATTCAGCGAGCCATCATCCAATCCTAGCGTAAGCTTCTTGCCAGGTAGTAAATGCAAGCCCAGCCATTTGGCTATTACATCCATGACTACAGCTTAGCAACACAGTTTAGCTCCAGAAAATAGCAATAATAGTCACTATCCTGATTTCTTTTTTCGAAATGCTCCAGCGCCAGAAAATTAAAGAAATTAGTTCACAGATGACTTTTAACATATGGTCTGCAAAGATTATTAATTTGAAGTTCTAACTAGAGCAAACTCCAGGCTCTTTATGAAGCGTGAAAAGGGACAATCTTTAACTTGGGGCCTGCATAACTGAAATGATATGGGCGAGAGCAGTACAGACACAGCTTGACTCCCCAGTTTGAGTCTACTTTCTGAGATCAGCAGCAGTGAAAGCTAACAGGTAGATGAGTTACTGTAAAGCTTCCTGTCCAATCCCCCACTTCAATTCATCTCCTCTCCACTTCTTCTGCAAGCTTCCTCTATCCATCTTCTGATTTGGCTCGCCATCTTGCTTTGTGTTGGCTTCTTTGCATCGTCTTGCTTACTCACTTTTTCTTCTTCCTCCCTTCCAAACTTTTCTTTCTCTCTTCCTCTTGCAACATCTCCTTTCTAATTTCTATTCAAAGCCCTTTTTCCCACAGTTTCCTTGGACTTCTGAATATTGTCATTCTAACTCTTTCTTTAATTGCCAGTTTCTATTTTTTCCCTCTCTGTCCCCCTATCAAGTCTCTCTATCCTTACATTCCCATCAACTTCCTCATCTCCTAACCCTCTTCTTCCCATCCATTTTCTCCTTCCTTTGTCTTCCATATTCCTCTCTGCTTGCGATTCATCCTCCCGAGTCTCCTCTTCTCCTCCTAACCCCTTTCTGTTATAATTCAGCTACATTTTATCACTCTTTATAATTCCTTGTTTTCTTCCTTCTTTCTCCAGATTAGCCTTGAACTGACTCCACAGTGAGTATTCAGGCTACGGTACCTTCACTAATACGTAGGATTTACGGATGACAAATGCTGGCTTGCACTGTCACCACAAGATAGCAACATCACTGTACATGAGAGACATGGGGGAAGTGGGTATGTGTGTGTGTGTGTGTGTGTGTTCAGTGCCAATCCAGTGCTTCAGCAAGCGTCATTTGATGTGGCCTATGTCTTGTTGGTACAAGAACTACTCTGCTCACAGAGATAGCACTCTTCCTAAATCCACTGTGGCTTTTTTTCCTTTCCACCTCTCCACTCTTTTATCTTCTCTGCTGCTCTCATGGATCACTCCACTCTTTTATCACATCTCTTCTGCTCATCCTCAGATTTAAACACACTTCTCCCCTTCCTCTTTACTTGTATTTTCTCCTGCTCTTTTACCCAATCTTCTCCTCCTCTGCGCTCCTCCACTCCTCTCCTTCAGTGGCTTAAGGCCTTTTTTCACTCTTTCAACACTTTACCTGTGCAAGCAATGCTATTTTTCCCTCGACACTTATCATTTTATGTATCATGTGTGTGTGTGTGTGTGTGTGTGTGTGTGTGTGTGTGTGTGTGTGTGTGAGAGTGGGTGAGTGAGTGAGTGTGTGTGAGAGAGAGAGAGAGAGAGAGAGAGAGAGAGAGAGAGAGAGAGGACATGTCTGAGTGTGAAATCTCTCTTAAGGACTGGCTGAATATTAAGAGTCTGTTGGATGATCTGCCCCCCTATGCAGACTGGTGGAAGACGCCAAAATATTCTGCATGCCAGCCAACTAACTAGAGAAGAAATATCACCATGAAATACTGAACTATGCTAATTCAGGAGGAGATTGTTGGCATTAAACCATAATTAAATAAAGTATACAATCAATAAAACAGTGTGGAAATCTAACCAAG